TTTTTTTTTTTTTTTTTTTTCCCTGCTCTTAGTCCCCGCAGCAGTCGCGGCGGGCATCCTCTTGTAATGCACAATTTTTGTTAGGTTATTTTGGATCGATTCCAAGTGTGTATTGCATATTATTATCGTACTACGCAGGAACCTGCATAGTACATGCATATACAGTATTATACACACACACACATCTATGCACCCAGACCTATCTACATACATAAATACATACATGCATGTAGACATACATACATACATACATACATACATACATACATAACATAACATAACATAACATAACATAAATACATACATACATACATAACATACATACATACATACATACATACATACATACATATACATACATGCAATCATGCATGTAGACATATATACATACACACATACATATATTACATTAAATTGCATGCATTAGACACATACTTGAGAATGTTGCCATCATAACAGGAGCGAAAGACGAATCATGATCAGAGCATCCTCCGATAAAGAGTAGGAAAATGTCAACACACCTGCTGATTGCCACTGGTCTGGCATAGCCTGTCAAAGGACGACCATTACCAATCATTGGTCTTATGCCTGCACAGTACACATTGATATCATCAAATAATGCCATTTGACTTTAGTACCTGATGACTTATCTTCCTCTCTGCATGCGCCTCATACTTGGGAAGAGAATATAATTTTACGAAAGAGTTTCGGGACCAAGAATGCAGGGTATGAAAAATATGAAAATCTAGTTTAAGAAAGGAACGATAGCTTTCCCACCATCCTCATATTGTAACTGCCCGCACTCAGAGTGACTCAAACTGGCCAGTCAACGCCCAACTGACTATCTTAAAGTTTTCAACCAGCACTGCAGTACATCCAGCTATCGGCCGCGGGCCTTTTTCGGAGGCCGCCCGCTGCCGATTCGATTTATCTACCGTGCTGGGCCTCTGAAAATTTCATCGTCGACGAGTTTTCTTTTCAGCAAGGCTGGTGCCGTGTACTGGCGATTTAAAGTTTATTATATCCTAAGGTGGAAGCAGAGGGTCTGTGGCAACTTGAATAGCGAACCACCAGGGGACCATTTCCCACTTGGGCCTGGGTTGGCTATTGTGACACCCCGCACCTAGAATTGCTAGCTGGCTATGACTTTCCCCGAACCAACACACCCTGATTATGACTGCACTGAACCGGAAAGATGGCTTGTATACATTCAGGATCAGAGTCTGTTGTGTTCGGGGGAAGACGGTAGGGCGTTAAAAATTCAAGCGTGCTGCATGAGGGATATGAAACCATGCATCAAAATGTATCAATGCAAACTCACAAGCTAAGCTAAGCCTTAAACCACCAGTACTTGGCGCAGCTATTGGCCGCGGCGTTTACCGGTTAACGCGCCACCAGTTGCACGGGTCGGGGCCCCGCTTCGACAGGCCGGTAGTGTGAAATTGTGCGGGCCCATTTGGGACATCACAATTCAGGCCGTTGGACACCCTACCGGCCTGCCGGTTGGACCTGGCGCCCTCGCCAACGTACATCACTGACAAGGCAAGGCAGGTGCGGTAAAACAGAATGCCAAAAGAAAAGAAAGTTCGGATGCGGGAACCACCCCCCCCTGCCCCCCCCAACCACCATCCGTAATGCTGGTGCCGACGCCGGAATTGCACCTGAGCTGATTTGTCTCACCATCGCCTGGCTTCGTGGTCGAAGCTCTCTGCCAGGTGGAGGCGTGCGGGGGACGACGCAATCGGTGTGTGTGTGTGTGTGTGTGTGTGTGTGTGTGTGAGAGAGAGAGAGAGAGAGAGAGAGAGAGAGAG